CCAGGTTTGATTCCCAGCTCCACAAAATCAATCAAAGAAACAAACAAAAAACAGACATAATTCCATCTGTCTGTTACACCTTAAAATTGCAGGTTTATCAATATCAAATCCCAATAAAAGAAAAGACAAAATGACATTCTGGGGGCTATAACTCTGAAAATAACACTAAATAAGAAAGACTAATAAAAGGCCATACACAACTTTCCTACAAGGCACTTTTAACTATGAAAATATCCACCTAAATATCCATACTTTCCAAATAAAATTATCTAAGGAAGGTCATCATAGCTCACATTACAATGTTCATGATCACTGTATAATGTGATGACTAGAAATGAAGGAGGACAAAAGGGAATCTTCTGGCGGTTTGCTGCCAAGCACAGCAAACTCCTTCACAATTAACTCATTCTTGGCAGAAATGTTATGATAATTAACAAAGGAACATGTGGAAAACACTCTGAGCCCTTTGAAGAAATGTAAACTCTCTCTAGGAAGCTGAAGGTGTGATACGCTGTAACGCTCACTTTCTAAGGAAAAGCAACCTGGGATTTGGTAGCATTTTTCAACTCTACTCAATGTAGATGTAGTTGTGCTCCACAAAGGGAACAGGGGTGGGGTAGACCAGAGGTAACCACACATTCCTTCACTCAATTTTCTCTGCTTATGTATCAAGCTGATCATGCTGCTGTTTATTTTTATGTATCTAAAATTTACACTGACAATAACTGTTAATGGTTCTGTGTGGCCAAATGCTAGCATCTAAAGAAACTTTCCCATCTACTTCACAAACACAAACGACTCTTTCATTTGCCACTACAATCACGTTCTGCAACCTGCTTCTTAAGGGTTACAGATCTTTAAAAAGAGCTCTCACATTTTGAAGGTTGCAGACCAAACCACTCCACATTGTGATCCACTTCTCTAACTTATGACAGTTATCTTCTACCTGATCAAAACAGAGTCGCTTGAAATGGAAATGAAGATCTATTAATTAACCATGGGTATTTATTCACTAAACCACACAATGATGAATCTAATGCTAATCTTTAGATTTAACCCAAAGTATTAAAACAATGACCAGTTGCCTAGAACAGAGGTCATTAACCTTTTTTGCTACACACTATCTAAAATAGTCATGTGTGTCTTTTATATGTAAATATTTGGTGTTTATAAACTATGTACGGATGTATATAAAATGAATTTGCAAAACAGTAATTTTTGTAAGGCTGAGATGAAGAACTTTTACTAGTGTTCCTCATACCTCATAAAATATACACATGTATCCTTATTCAGATTTGCTGACTTAAAAGAAACACTTTATTCTATCCTAAGTGTCCTTTTTCTAACACATCATTACTAAGTTCAATGCTGTTTTAGCTCTAAATCTAAATGGATGGACTGGCTGGGAGGGGGTCAGTAAGATCTCACTTTCATCTCCTGCTAGGGCTCCTAAGCAATGACAATACTGTAAGGTAATTAATTACTCACTGACCCTTTATACCTGAAGGCCCACGTGGGATCTGTCTGGGAGATCCTTGGAGAAGCACTGTGGAAAGTTGTTAAAGGCATGAATCCTATGCTTGAAGAAACTAAACATAAAGACTACTCAGAAGAAAAACCACCAGAAGCCCCACTATAGACAGCCTAGCTGACTGAAGGACACAGAGGATGGAGACAAAGACCACCTGTGGTCTCAGAGCAAATCATTTAATTTACATCTCAAACAGGAAGCTCTGTCCCGGAGAGTCAGGGCCAGTGTTTCAGGCTACAGTGGCTGACTAGCCCTAGCAGATTTTGAGGCACAAAACAGGTTTCTTAAAAAGAAGTACAGCAGGATGAACTTGTTAACTTTTTTTTTTGGTACCAGGGTTCGAACTCGGGTCCTTGAGCTTGCGCAGCAGGCGGTGAAACCACTGAGCTAAATCCCCAGCCCTGAACTTGTTAACTTTTAATGTCCACGCTAAGAAATCTCAACTTTCACTTAGGCTTCTAAGGGGATCACTTGACACTGTATTAATTTCCTTTCAAACTAAATATTCTCAATCTTTTTCTAGTTAAGATGTATTCACCTAATGAAGGTCTAGAAATTCATGACCAAGTGCTCAATGATTCTCATCATTTCACTTATGTTCACCTGAAGATACAACTTCTCAGTTCCTACTATGACACTGACATGCAAGAAAGAATGTGGTTACTATAAATTCAACTAATGAAACTGGGTATGGCAATGAGTGCTGGTATTGTATTTTACTCCTCGGGCTGCCTAAACTACCTACTGATGAGTTTACAACACCGTCTAATGGATGTCCACTGTATTCTCATAATCTTTAATGATAAGATTATAATAGCTTTGTGAGCTTTGTATATAATTTCTTTACTTATCAAACCTGTCTTTTCATTCTACTTTGCAGATGAAGAAAAAATGTTGACATATCAACTTACTTAAAACTCACAATTTAGGCCCGGGGATTTAGCTCAGTGGTCCCACCACCTGCCTTACAAGCACAAGGTCTTGAGTTTGATCCCCAGTATCAAAAAAACCCCCCAAAACTTCACAATTTGTTTGTGGCTGAAGCTGGCTCTGAAACTGGATTTAAGTTTAGAATTTGCATTTTAAAAGTACTTAACTATATGCTGTATTTCCAAATATGTGCTGTTTTTTCCAAACTTCAATGATATGCTTTTCTACTGTCTGTTATAGAAAAAATTACTACAAAAAATGTGAAAAGTAGTAAGACAGTATAGCAGAAAACAACACAGGCTTTAGCATTTTAAAGATTTATGCTCAAGCCCTGGCTCCACTACTCAACAGTAGTATTACGTCGGAAAATATACTTAACTTTGAGAGCCCATTTTTTTCCATCTGTAAAAGAGAACGTAAGTCTCTCGCAGGACTGTTCAGAAGATTAAGTGAACATGCATATAAAGTACATTGAATGGTGCCTGGCACCATTATGGAGCAGAGAGAGGGAAACAGATCTACCTAGAAGATGGAACCAAGTATAGTATTTTCAGGGCAAGTTTGTACTAGTTTCAGCATCTAAACTCAGTACATCAATCAGTTTCTTTCCCAACCTCTCAAGGTGACCCAATGTGCTGAAGATTCACTTCTTGACTGCTACCTAAGCATGCTGACAGTACTGAAAGTAAATTCTGTTCTGAGGGCCAAGACTGGAAGCAAAGAAGAAAGACCATGTACCCTGTGACTACGAAGTACTGGACCTGAAATCGAAGGGTTCCAAAAGTTTTCAAGGTTGTGGCGAGAGGAGGTAGACAGCTGGGTCTCCAACTTCCCATTGGCTAATCATGACCATCTGTCTTACTCCAGGGCACAAATCTCTCTCTTCTACCTCTATAAAATGGAGAAATCTAGAGCTTGCTGACCAGGGACAGGAACAATGAGAGCATGCCCGGACTTTTGCATACCCCTCTGCCTCAAAGCATCATTTGGAGAGAAGAATAAAATTAAAAGTTTTTTAACATTCAATGCCTTATGTTACTTTGAAACTGCAGGACACATAGGTCTGTCTGGAGCATTTAACATCAAACTATTATAGGAAGCTGAGTTAGATAGAAATTAATATGTATACAGTCAGGGAGGGATGGGGATCTCCAGGAAGTCAGCACAAGACATCAGAATTGTGGCTGGAGGCAAATCTGAAGACAGCCAGGCCTCAGGATGCAATAGCAAGATCTGTAGGCCTCCCTCTAAATAAACAGCAACTTGGAATTATACTGTAATCAGCACCACCTAGTCCAATGAGCCCCTATAGACATCAATATAGCCATGTAGGCATAGATGGCTGAGCAGAACATCTGGACTCATACTCCCTTCCCTTTCCATGAATTCCTTTGATCTTTTCATGTGCCTTCAATACGTGACTCGTTTCCCTATTGGATCAATATTAGCTAAGAAGGTAAACCTATAGGTTGATTATAGTTTAACCCACATTACATCTCCGCTGTGATTTTGTTGCATAAATTACCCCTGACAAAGGGCCTCTGTGGCCACCCACTTGGGATCCCTCCTGCAAAACCAAGAGCTATTGTTTTCTTAATTTCAATAAAAATTTCCTAACCTCCTCCACTGGTTCACAACTTCATTCCTTGATGTAAGACCATGAACTCGGCACATCTGACATCTAACAAGTCAGGAATTATATTTTTCCTATACCAAAATTATGATTATTTAAAGGAGTTGAGGTTTCAGTATGAGAGGTACCTGGCAACAGTGATGCTATTTCTGTTGAGGAGTTATGTGGACCTTTTAAGTTATGAAAAATATTTTGGCTATGACCTTTAGAAAAACTACATAATTATTTTGACTCTTCCAAATATAATCCTTGAGATACTTTGAAGAGCAAGCAGTATTAGAAGAGGCACATATTGTTTAAAATAAATTAAGCTATAGGCTAAGGAACAATGGGCATTATGACTGTGCTTTAGAGAGCTACAAGATTCATGACTTCATGTTTAATAAAAATGTCACATGCACAAAGATATTTTTGGGGACTCCATGCATCTGAAAGGAATATTTCAACACATCCTCTGGCTTTTAAGATGACAAGAGAAAATAAAATTTCCAAAACTACTAAGATACCATCATAGTTAAGTTAAAGCACTGATTTTCTGTACTAAAACTTCTTTTACCTTCATCCTTTATTTAAGGATTTTTTTTTAGTAGGTTCAAGATATAAGACAAATCAGCCACATGCTACAAACTGAGCAATCGTCTACATTTTACGTATGTTTCATGTCTGAATAACATCTTTGGATATCAGGAAGTTGGTACATTTTGATGTTCACTTTCTTGGGTCTAACTGCCAATGTTACTCAGTCAAACTGATCCCAAAGAACATTATACTGACCTCTGCTCATACTCCATTCCTAATATCAGACACAAAGAAATCAGAGAATACCCTAAGCGCAAGTTAGACCCAGTGGTGAATTTCTGTGAAGAAGTCAGTAAGGATGAATTCATGTAAGAATGATGTACATACCTGTACCACAGGATCTTTTGGTTGGTGTGACTAACGAGACGTGAGCTGTGTCTGTACATGGCCCACCTAGAAACAAAAAGGCAGGCACATCAGTCACATATACTCCACATGCCCACAGTAGCTATCCTGACTAAAGAGAAATCTAAAGAGGAAATAATCAACTTGCAAATATGGATAAGGAAGGGCAGTAGGAAAAATGGGAATGGTGGGTTTCTTCTAAGGATCTAATGTTGGTCAGCATTTAGTCTACAGAGATCCAGAGTATTTTTACACTATAGCATACTTTTCATAAAAAGTAGCACACAGTGTTAACAGGTTAAGGGTCAAAAATTTAATCAGAATTTAGATCCAGGTGAGCAGTTGTTATCCACAAGGTTAGGAAGATGAATGATAAGCAAGGGTATTCTCTCTTTTGATCTCAGTGGCCACTCTACTTTGAATTTATCATAAAACTAGCCCCTAAGGAAGAATAAACTGCTTGTCAAAAGAAACAATGATCATTTTAGTATATAAGGAAAGCATTGCTGACAAAGGAAGAATATCTAGGTTGATTATGAAAAACTGACGTGAAGAGGGCCTTCATGGAATCTAGCTCAGCCCAAAGATCTCAGGTGCACAAGGCATAATTCAAGAGTATGCAGGGGATATAAGTAGTCAGTGGGTAAAGGTTTCAAATAGCAGTATTTTCACTCTACAGGATCAAGACCATCAACCATCTGAAGCTGACACTGGCACATACGCCAACACCCCCACCAACCATATAAGTTACTATATAAACATTCACGCCAGTGGTTCTTGGCTTGCCCTGGGAAAGGCAGTGCTGATGATCATAAAGGATCAGAACATGCAGGCAAATGTTACACATCTATTCTGAAAAGGTTCGTCAGGTGATTGTGACTAGCAGAGAGGAAATGTGGTTACTTGCCATGGCTGTACATCATCAATGAGAAAAAAAGGAAACACTGAAAAAGAGGAAAAGCAAAAGACCTCTGAAACCTGTTCTTAGAAGTCATGCCACCAAAACCCATGGACTTAGGGACATAGAGATCCCATGTAACAAGTTCACCTCTCGCCCACTCTTTCCTGTATCAAGGCTATAATGGCAGCAACCCATAGTTGGTATAAGACAATACAGATGGCAGGGCCAGGGATTTAGCTCAGGGGCACCATTCCTGCCTCACAAGCACAAGGTCCTGAGTTCAATCCCTAGTACCAAAAAACAAAAGACAACAAAGATGGTAACATTTTTCAAAGGAGGAAAACCCAGGTAAGCATGCTGTTAGCTTTAAGGACTACTTGGCAAATACCTTCTATCTGCCACCACAGATCAGTCCCACAGTCAGCACATATAATCTTACTAGGAACACAGAATTTATATACATATAAACAAAGAGCAATACATGACAGCAATAAAGGGCTAGATGGAAAATGATCAAAAGCTAAAGCATACAGAACAGGTAATAAACGTTGTATATAATGAGGAAGAAAGCTATTTATCATTGGCTGATACTACCTGGAAATGAAAAGAATTTGAAAATGAGGCAACATGAATAAATTGGGAAGTTTAGAAAGACCAGAGAGCAGGGTATTTCAATCGAATGTTTTCTACAAATTGCATTTACCAGAGAAAACTCAATATACTAAAAGTCCAGAGGTTCAAATGGCCAACTGTGACATGAAAATAGGCAACATGAAGAGGTAGCGAGCCACATGCAAACCTAACATAGACCTCACACTCTTAGGCTCCCCCCCAACCCCCGGGCGCATTGGCTTTTACAGCTCCATAAAACGCTGTATCTTCTGCTTTCATGTAATTTTTGAGAGTGGTACTGGGGATTGAACCCAGGGTCTCTTGCTTGCTAGGTAAGTCTTGCACCACTGACCCACATCCTTGTCCCTCATGAAAGGGTTTTTATTAAACAAAGCATTCTTACTTCTGGGACATTACTGACTTTCACAGAAGATGCAATGTAAACCAGGCCTGGTGGTGCACCCCTGTAATCCCAGCACTTGGAAGGCTGAGGCAGGAGGATCACCGTGAGTTTGAGGCCACCCCAGGATACACAGTGAGTTCAAAGCCAGCCTGGACTGCATAGAGAGGCCCTATCCTCCCATCCTGCCTTCCCCAAAAAGATACAATTTAAGCCCTGAGACTTGCTGACTAATCCTGGGTAAGTGAACCTCAGTTTCTTCAACAAAAGAATGGGAATAGTAACAGTACCAATATGCCAGAGGGTTCATGGATCACGCATACAAAAAGGTTTCATAAATTGTTAAGTTTTCTATTATGCAGAATCATTTTCTCTTCCACCAGATTTTTTATTTCCAAGAATCAAGACTTACACATTTTTAACTGCTCTTAGATCTCAACTATGTGAACAATGGGTCCTTAACAATGCTTACTAAGTGACCACTGCAAGCTACTTGATTTAATTAGGAAAGTGAGCCACATTTTAAAAGAGGTTTTTAATAGAGGCATAACATAAAGAGGACGAAATACATGTTGGGTATCATTTATCCAAGAGATCTGGGACCACAATTTTGGAATATTTGCATATACATAATAAGGTATCTTGGGGAGAGGACCTAAGAGTAAACATAAAATTCATTTATACTTTATATATACATAGCTTAAAGATAATTTTACAGAGCATTTGTAGTGTACCTGTGTTCCAACTGTGACTCATCACATGAGGACAGGTATAGAATTTTCCACTTGTGGAATCATCACAAGGCTCAGAAGTTTTTTATTTTGCAGCATCTTGAGGTTTTAGATAAGGAATGCTCAACCAGTGTTAGAAGGAACTGCATAAATCTTAACATCCTGAGGGATTTCACACACACACACACACACACACACACACACGCAAAATGACCATCAGATGAAACTATTAAAATATTCCCTAAATCCAGAAAATACTGGAATCACTTAAAATACAGATTCCCAGGCTGTGGATCTGGAAATTTTGATGCAACAGGTTAGGGGGGAAACAGGAGAAGATTACAGCGTGTTTCTAAACCAGAGGCACACAGTGAGTATCAGCCCAGTTGGCCCCGCTATCTCATAACATTTTCTGAAAGCTCTAGCTCAGTATCTGGCCAGGACCACTGGGTTCTGCCCAGAGGATGCAAGTGAACTGCACAGAGCACAAATATCAGTGATAGTGTGACTACCAAAATACTTTGGGGGGGGGCAGTGTAATTTATCCAGTAAAATTATAAGGAAGAAACCATAAAATCAAAACCTCTAAAGAAATGTGGCTGAGACTCATGAATTACCTCATACTTTTAAATGTCCTAAATAATTATCAAATAACAAAATCTTTACTTCGTCTGTGGCTTGAGACTTTATCCTTTTAAAAACTTCTAGTGAGTGAATTTCTGTTCGTTTTGGTGAACACACAAATAACTTTATGGCTACCGAGCATATCTCAACATGTATCATCATGAAAGTGTTCCCCAGAGAGCTTGTTAAACTAACAACCCAATCCAATGTATTCACTACATTACAGTAAAGTATAAACAGAACCACAGTTGAGCCAAGACAAACTGATAACAAGAGTACCTGGCAGTGATAATATACCCCAGCTTTATAACTGGGCAATTTTATTATAAATGGAGAGCTTGAACTAAGCTTAGCCTGGCAGACCATAACCTATGAAACACTTTAAAATCTTGAACAGAAGCATATGAACATCATGCATATTTCCTACATTAACTGTTTTGTCATCTCAAACTCCTATACCCCCAAATAAAAGGAGCCACCATATAATATCTAGCCTTATACAATTAATTCTAAATCAACTCTGTCAACATGACTGCAACTGTATTAAAATTATGGGCAACTCAAGGGAATCCTTTTTTTAGGTTTCTGTCTATAAGAAAAATATAATATGGGTTACAGCAAACAAAATTCAGTTGTTGTTAAAGGTCAAAGTGAGGGCATCTGTTCCATCAAAAAACCAGAGGTGGGGTGGGCTGGGGATACAGGCACATGGCTGTAATCCCAGTACTCTGGGAGGCTGAAGCAGGAAGATTTCAAGTTTGAGCCCAGCCTGGATATCTTAGCTCTGATCTAAAAAATGACTGAATGAGTGAGTGAATGAGTGAATGAGCACGCTGGGGATGTAGCTCAATGCTAAGTTCCTGGGTACAATCCCTAATACCACATAGGCAACTTTTCCTTTCTGGACTTTCTAAAAATGCCTAAGAAAAGGGTTTGCATATGTCCCCATAAATCACTGTGAACTGTTCCAATTTTTAACCATTCTTCTTTCTAAGCAGCAAGGTACAGCAGAGCTAGTAACAAAGATAAAGGTGAGGAAGCATCTTAATGACACCATGTTCTACGGGTGAACGGGAGAGAGGAAGACAGAGAAAGGTGGGGAGGGGAGGGGAGGGGGGAGGGAGGGAGGAAAAATATAGGGGATAGGGAGGAGAAAGGTAAAGAGTTCAGTGGGACTGAGGTTGTGAAAGTAAAGAGACTCAGGCATTCTTTGATGACCAAAAGGCATTTATTTGACCATGTGGGCTCTTAGCACTGTGATTCAGGGATTGGAGATCAGAATGCATCCCATTAGGGAGGAGTTTAGGGGCTTTTTATGGATCTAGCATAAGCCTTATCCCTGGACTAGGTAAGAGTTTAGTTCATGTCCTCCTGGGATGTTCACAACTCTTGGCATGCCAGCAAGTTAACAGAGTGGTCACCACAGAACAAGGAATCTGGACCACAAAAGTACTCAAGGCTGTCAATTTTCTTTCGCATCTTTTATCCCATATTAGTGGCAACTTGTTGGGAGCAGTTCTACATAATTCTGAGGAAAAATTATTTCACAATTAAATCATGATTAGGGCCTAGTTTTCGGCCTAGCCGAAACTCCATTTTCGGCTCCAGTCACAGTTTGAACCTCTGTGGTCCCAGTGATGCAGTGATGCTCTAAGGCAGGATTATACCAGCTAAAGACATCCTGGGGAGGAACAAAATCTTCATCTGCATAGTTCCTCATTGTTCTAGGATTTTTGCTGCCACTGCCCTCTGAGTCACCTATTACCTGGCTGCCCTCAGA